AATTAACCCTCATAAATATCACCATATAGTTTATGTTGACAACTAACGTAGATATATATCACCACATTAGCAACCGCACTTTCTTACAACAGCTCAAAGAGCGCCAGAATTTCCCCAGCAAACGGCAGCAGCAGCGTCGCTGCAGGCAGCAGCTGAAGAAGTCTGAGATCCTGGATACACGTGTATCAGCTCCCTCATCGCCATCCAAAAAAAAAATTATATTGCACTGTGTGGCAATATTACGGGAAATTCGAGTCGGTTTCTGCGGATCGAGTGTATGAAAGAACTCCTCAGGAGCATCGCCGTGCGCTCTCCAGGGCAGCTGCGGCCAATATAAACTTGAATTTCACCAGTGCAGCACAAAATTTTTTTGAGAGATCACAGCCATTGCAAGACAGCTCTGTTGACTGTAAAAAGAGGCGCTCACATATACACTTCTACGGGGTCTCGGGCACCGAAGATTTTTCTTGGCTTGAGCTAGCCATAGAAAGAGTAAAGATATCTGCGCTCTTTACTCTTTCTATGGCTAGCTCAGCGGCGCCCTCCTCGAGTTTTCTTTCCTCACACATTCTTGTTTCGCCTCCCCTGGGCTGGCTTGGCAACTACCTCCGGCGATCTAATGTGTTAAGCGCTGGGCGCGATCCACAGCACTGCTTTCACCCGCATCAAAAGGCATCAGCCAGCTCGGGCGAAGAGGGCACAGCGCCGTACATGGAAAGTGGCCACGCCAGTGAGCTAGCATGTTGCAGTGATATCTGGGTAGGCGGCGGCAACAGCACAGAGCGTCAGGGAAAGCAGCAGCTTCCCGTTGATCGGGGCTCGGGCCACGCATGCCCACCCCCATACATCCTGTGGTAGCCAACCACACGAGTTCTTGCGCTTCTTAACGGAGAGGGCAGGCAGAGGTAACATGGCCTCCCCGACTTTGCTGCATGTATTGCTCTCTACATGGAGCATAGCCATTTAGAGCCGAGCGAGTATTTGGGACTTGTCTATAGTGTTACCGCATACGCCAAAGGCAGCTTACGTGTGCCTGCATGCTGGATCGCGTTGCAGTTGGAGATGCAGCAGGGAGCGCTGCAGCTTGTAACAGGCCGCGGCTCCTCTGCGCAGCAACCCAGGCAGTTCTGCTGCTGTGCCTAAGGCGTTTGGCGACTGTATGGACGGCCAGATGCCTTGGCGGCGAGTTCTTATGTTGAGGCATTTGACTCTACTGCAGCTCACGATGGCCCCCAGGTGTGATAGAGTGATTTCTTCATACTTGCATACTCTTACACTTGACGGTGGGGGTTACAGCCCTCTCCCCGCGGCTTAGAATCAGTTGTTTCGGAATGTGTTTGGGGATCAAAAGTGAGATATTGCAGCTGTTTTTATTGTGTTTTTAATGGCAATAGTGAGACATCAATAAAGAGTGAAAACACAACTGATGCTGCATGCTGCAGGCCGCTGGCTGGGCAGCAGCTGTATGAGTATTCCTCAGCAACGGGGGCGTTAGCCTTCTTCTGTTTCTGCAATTCACCTATCAAAATCTTGAGCTTTTCAGCTTTTATTTCATTGAAATGCAAATATTCTAATATTATACGTCATCGTAGACGCAACGACCCGGCCAAGCCGACTGGCTCCCGCAGTCCCAGCGAGCGTTGGGGCTGTGGCGTTTGTATTCGGCTTAAGGGGGAAGTTGAATTTTGCGTTTATTTTACAATTTAATTAATTATATATCCTGTTAAGTTTATGGATTCGGTTTACGATCCCATTTTGTGTATTTATTGTCGCTTTTCCCTTAAACGGGGTGGAGGGGAGGGCTGGTGGTGCTTACTGGTGTAAGCTGTAGCGGCTGCTTTTGTGGTTTCTTGTTTCATCATCGGGTTTGTTTTCCGTTGTTATTTTCCATTTCCTTTTGATCGTGCCGCTGTATACCGGGGTTTGAGCATGCACAGCAGGCTGATTCGTAGACCCCCTTCTTTGTAGTATTTTCAACTCAAGCAGAAGAACTTCTTCTGGATTTCGCTTTCATCGAAAAGAAAAGATTTCTTGCAAATAGACGAAAAAAGGAGAAAAAGAAACCGCAGCGGCGCTGCCGCTTCTGTTGCTGCCAGGGGTTTCCGTGGTGGGTTTAGCGTTTGGGGTTAAAAGGGTTTAGGGTTTAGCGTGTGGGGGCCATAAGAAATTCATTTGGCTGCTCGTTGCAAGAAACACGCAAAATCACAGCAACAACAAATTATACGGCCGTGAATGAAGAATTAACAACAGAAGGAAACGACGATGGCTGACTTTCTAACGTAAGTTCATTCTTTGCGGGGGGGCTGCTGGTGTTTAGGGTTTAGGGTTTAGGGTTTATAAAGTTTTCTCATGGAATTACCTCATTTGTTCTGTTGTTTGAGGGCAATGCTGATGCTGAGGGTTTAGGGTTTAGGGTTTAGGGTTTTGGGTTCACATGCCCTGCTTTTATACGGTAGAGTTTCATCGCGCAGACTACCGCATGCAGATGAATTGCCTTGCAGCAGCAGTAGTTATAAACATAAATATATATATATATATATATATATATATATATATATATATATATATATATATATATATA